GCCGAGTGCTTTCCGGCCAGTGGCATCTGCCAACAAAAATATGGGATTGACATCCAGTAAAATACTCGTCAGTCGTTGGCTCGAATAGGCTGGATCAAGAGGTACATATGCAGCGCCGGATTTTAGAATACCCAGCATTGCTACAATCATTGTTGTGCTGCGCTCAACGCAAAGTGCAACGCGATTATCTGATTTAACGCCTCGAGCGATTAGGTAATTTGCCAATTGGTTGGCCTGAACATTGAGTCCTGCGTAGCTTAGAGTTTCTCCCTTATATTCAACGGCAATCGCCTGTCCGTCATGTTCTACTAGGGCTTCGAATAACTGGTGAAGACAGCGGGCAGGTGGATAGGTAACTGTGGTTTGATTCCAGCTGTGCAGCAGCATCTTGCGCTCTTCTGGTGGCATCACTTTCAACCTTCGAATTGGTTTTTGTGGACTGTGAATTAACGCGTTGGGCAGCGATATTAAAGCCTCTTCCATATAGGCACAAATCCGTGCTGCAGACATTGTTGGAACAATTTGAGCCGTTAGACCTAGCGAATCACCACCATCTTCTACTGACAAGGCCAATGGGTAATTTGTTCGCTCCTCCACATTTATGACACTGACTCCGCACAGTGGCGCAGTAATCTGTTCCGTCTCCTTATTGTGACGGTAGTTCAGCAAAGCACTGAATAGAGGCAAACCTGCTGGACACCCACTACAGCGCTGTGCCAATGCAAGTGGTGCGTATTCATGAGCCAACAACGCACTTAACCGGGCATGGGCATTTCGTACTGCGATCTTCACACTTCTCTCATCAATATCTATGCGTATTGGTAGAGTATTAATCATAGGTCCCATGGCATTGTCGTTTCCCCCGCCGGCTTGTAAACGGCCAACTAGCACAGTACCAAAGACTACTGCCTCACGTCCACTAGCTCGAGCAAGTACTTGTGCCCAGGCTAAATGACAAATACTAGCCAAACTGACTTGTAAGCTGCCTGCAAGTGCTCGTAGCTCATCATTGAGTGTTTGTGACAGCTTCAGATGTGTTTCATTGATCTCGGTCCCATCCAGAGAAACATCACAAAGACCAAATGGTAAGGATGGCTCGTCAATATCGCTGAGCATTTCACTGAAGAAACGTGTGTGTTCATCTTGACTAATTCCTAGTCGTACTTGTGCTACAATATGACGGAATGATGTGGGCATTGGTAGCTTTTCAATCCTTCCATCAATGATGGCGTGCAGTTCCTCTTGTAACTGCTCGAATGTTGAATGATCAATAATTAAGTGGTGCATCAGTTGTAGTGCTACCCAGCTCCCTTCAAACGTTGGTGCGGCAAATAAACGCAATAGCGGTGCTTGTGTCAATTCGAACCGATAGTTGCGCGAATCAAAGCGGTGGCTCAACTGATCCAATACCGGTTCACCGGTATCATCTAATGAGACTTCACTAAGTAGAGAAGGAACCTGGCGCAAAACGACCTGTGCCGGCTCACGGAGGCCTTCCCAGATGAAGACAGTACGAAGGATATCGTGTCTTTCTATCACTTGCTGCAGGGCGAACACATAACGATCAAGTGCCGTACGGTCACTGAAATGCATACGCATTACTGTCAAGTATGGGTCCCTTTGTTTGGCCATCATATTATGGAACAAAATACCGTTTTGTAAAGGCGCCAATCCATAAATATCTTGAATATTAGCTACTCCGTCTGGTACCAATGCGACAATTGCATCGATCTCTGTCTGAGAAAGCGTGATAAGTGGTAACATTTCGGGAGTAATCACCGTGCTGTCTGCGATAATAAAATTGGTTGGAACAGTCACTTCTTGGTAACGATCAAGCGTTGAAGATAACACGGCCAGAGTGGACGAATCAAATACTTCCCGTACAGTGGTGTCCAGACCGATCTGTCTCAACTCCGCTAACAGCCGAACGACCAACAAAGAATGACCTCCCAACGCAAAGAAATTGTCATGTCGACTCATACGTTCAACGCCAAGCAGTTCACGCCAGATATTGGCCAGATTTTCTTCTATTTCACCTTGTGGAGCTTCATACTCTTGATGAGCGAACGCCTCATCGTCCGGAGGCGGTAATGCTCGTCGGTCTAGCTTGCCATTGGATGTGAATGGCAAGGATTGTAGACAAACATAAGCCACTGGTACCATATATTCAGGCAGTAATTCTGATAGATATGTACGCAAATCCTGTGCTAACGATGTATCCGCATCGGCCACCACATAAGCTACAAGACGAGCATCTGATCCGTTTCCATAGGATTGTACAATCGCTTCACGCACATGTGGATGTTTTACTAAATGGACTTCAATTTCACCGAGCTCAATTCGGAATCCACGTATTTTTACTTGTTGATCTGTGCGTCCTAAATAGATCAAATTACCATCAGGCAGATATCGTGCTCGATCACCTGTACGATACATGCGTGCTGTTGGATCATCACTAAATGGGTCGGGTAGAAAATGTTCCGCGGTAAGTTCAGGACGATTGAGATAGCCACGTGCCGCACCAGTACCTCCAATATACATTTCTCCCTCGGCTCCTAGTGGCACCGGGTCGCCATGTGCATCCAGCAGATAAATTCGCTTGTTGGATAGCGGACGGCCAATCGGTATCATTGAACGTTTAGAAATTGTGTTATCACAGATCCAACTTGTTGCAAAAACAACTGTTTCGGTAGGCCCATATACATGGGCTAACACTGTTTGATTTTTAGTGCATTTTTCATACCAGTCCCTTACAATCAATGAATCTGATGCTTCACCGCCAAAGAAAACATATCGTAGTTGATCGGATTGAGAGCTGATATTTTTTGCCCGCATAAGCATTTTGAACGCCGTAGTGGTTTGATTTAGTACAGTAATACCTCTGGTGCAGATCCAATCATAAAATTCGTCTGCAGAACGTGTGGTATCGTGTGGTACAATCGACAGTTGATTTCTATTCAATAACGCACCAAATATTTCCCACACAGAAAAGTCGAAAGAAAAAGAATGGAACAAAGACCACTTATCCTGTGAATCGAACTCAAATTTGGCATGTAAAGATTTGACTAATTTTTCTGCATGTTGATGTTCAACCATTACTCCTTTTGGTGTTCCAGTCGAACCCGAAGTGTAAATTACATAAGCCAAATTGGTTGGAGTGAGTCCAAGTTTAATTGCGTCCAGATTATTGATTGACAAACCATCAGGCAATGGTATATCTAATTCAATCACAGGTACTTTATATTCTCCAAGTGCTTTCCGACCCATAGCATCTGCTATGAGAAATATTGGATCGACATCTAATAAAATGTTAGTCAGTCGTTGGCTCGGATAGGCTGGATCGAGTGGAACATACGCAGCACCAGCTTTTAAAATACCCAGTATTGCCACGATCATTGTTATGCCACGTTCGATGCAAAGTGCGATTCGATCATCTGGTTTGATGCCTTGTTCGATCATGTAATGTGCCAGCTGGTTGGATTTGATGTTAAGTTCTGCATAACTTATAGTCTTTCCATTACTTTCCACAGCGATTGCTTGTCCATCACGTTCCACCTGTGCTTCAAATAACTGGTGAAGACAGCAAGCAGATGAATAGGTAACTGTGGTTTGATTCCATGTGTGCAGAAGCATCGTGCATTCTTCCGATGGCACGACTGCCAATGTCCGAACTGGTTGTTGCGTTGTGTTATTTAACGCTTTGGCCATCGATTCGAGAGCTTGTTGCATATAAGCACAGATCTGAGCTGCAGACATTGGTGAAATTACTTGAGCTATCAAACTCAGTGAAACATCAAAATCTTCAACCGTTAGAGCTAATGGGTAATTGGTTCGTTCTTCCACTTCTTTAACTCTGATTCCAGGAAGTGTCGTTGTGACCTGGTCTGCCTTCTGGCTATGACGATAATTTAACAGTGCGTTAAATAGTGGTACACCAACTGGAATTCCACTGCATCGCTGTGCCAATGCAAGCGGTGCGTGTTCATGGGCTAACAACGAACTCAATCGAGAATGGGTATTTCGCACTGTGGTCTCGACACTCGTATCATCAATATCTATGCGTATTGGTAGAGTGTTAATCATCGGTCCCATGATATTATTGTTCTCTTTTCTCGCATGTAAACGTCCAAGTAACACAGTTCCAAAGACTACTGCCTGTCGACCACTAGCTCGAGCAAGTACTTGTGCCCAGGCTAAATGACAAATACTAGCCAGGCTGACCTGAAGCTTCCGTGCATGCGCTCGTAGTTGATCATTGAGTGCCTGCGACAGCTTCACATGTGATTCATTTATTTCAGTCCCATTCAGAGCAACGTCAGTCAGACCAAATGGTAACGTTGGCTCGTCAATATCACTGAGTATTTCAGTGAAAAAACGCATATGTTCGGCTGAACTAACTCCAAGTCGTGCATGTGCCACAATATGACGAAATGATGGGGCCGTTGTCAACATTTCAATCTTTCCGTCGATGATAGCGTGGATCTCTGCCTGCAGTCGCTCCAGCGTTGAATGATCTATAATTAAGTGATGCATCAATTGCAGTGCCACCCAAATTCCTTCAGAACTTGGGGAAACATGTAGACGCAATAGCGGCGCCTGTGTCAAGTCTAAACGATAGTAACGTGGATCAAAGCGGTGGCTCAACTGATCTAATACCGGTTCACCAGTATGATCCAATATAATCTCTTTAAGTAGAGAAGGAACGTGTCGCAAAACGACCTGTGCTGGATCACTGAGACCTTCCCAGATGAAGACAGTACGAAGGATATCGTATCTTTCTATCACTTGCTGCAGGGCGAACATATAACGATCAAGTGCCGTCCGGTCAGTAAACTGCATACGCATTGCTATCAAGTATGGGTCGCCCTCTTCAGCTCTCAGATGATGGAACAACATACCATGTTGTAAAGGTGTTAAACCATAAATATCCTGAATATTGGTTGTTCCGCCAGGTACGTGTGCAACAATTGCATTAATCTCTACCTGAGAAAGAGTTATAAGTGGTAACATTTCTGGAGTAATCTCCGTGCTGTCTGGAGTGATGAGATTGGGTGGAATAGTTACTAATTGGTAACGAACAAGCATCGCTGATAACATAGCCAGAGTGGGAGCATCAAACACTTCCTGCACGGAAGTATCTAATCCGTTCTGTCTCAAACGCCCTAATAGCTGTACAACCGATAACGAGTGCCCTCCTAAAGCGAAAAAATTGTCATGCCGACTGATGCGTTCAATACTTAGCAGTTCACACCAGATTTCGGCCAGTTTCTCTTCCATTTCACCCCGTGGAGCTTCATACTGCTGGCGAACAAACGCCTCATCATCCGGAGGTGGTAATGCCCGTCGATCTAGCTTGCCATTGGGTGTGAATGGCAAGGATTGTAGACACACATAAGCCACTGGTACCATATATTCAGGCAGCAATGTCGATAGATATGTACGTAAATCCTGGGCTAACGATGTATAAGCATTGGCCACCACGTAAGCTACAAGAAGAGCATCTGATCCGTTTCCATAGGATTGTACAACCGCCTCGTGTACCTGTGGATGATCTACTAGATGGGCTTCAATTTCACCCGGCTCAATTCGGAAACCGCGGATTTTCACTTGCTGATCTGTACGTCCAAGATATAACAATTTGCCATCAGGTAAATATCGTGCTCGATCACCGGTGCGGAACATGCGTGCTTGAGGATTGTCACTGAATGAATCGAGTAGAAAACGTTCCGCGGTAAGTTCTGGATGGTTTAGATAGCCACGAGCTACGGGAGCACCACCAATATACATTTCTCCCTCGGCTCCCAGTGGCACTGGTTCGCCATATGAATCAAGCAAGTATATCTGTGTGTTGGCAATTGGCCGCCCTATCGTTTCGATTGCTTCATCGCCTCGTTTAAATCTATGCAACGTTGAGAAAAACGACGTTTCTGTTTGGCCATATAGATTGCACAGTTGAGTGACTTGAGTAAGCGTAAAAATGCGTTTGATTAGACTGGATTTTAGTGGCTCGCCTGCCAAATGGAGTGCACACAGCGACAATGGCAGAGAGCCTGCATTGAGTATCGTTGTAACTGCAGAAGGTACCGTACTGAGCATCGAAATGTTCGACGATGGTGAGAGCGCAAGCACATCGGGTATGATATGTAATGTGGCTCCCATCGACAGTGGTGCGAAACATTCGTAAAGAGACATATCGAAATTAGCGGAGGTCGAAAATGAAGTGTGCTTGAAGTCTTCAGCTGTAAAATTCTCGTTGATCCAATGAAGGCAATTTGTTACATTTCTGTGTTCAACCATCACCCCTTTCGGAGTTCCGGTTGAGCCAGAGGTGTAAATTATGTAGGCCAAATGGGCTGGAGTGAGTCCTAAATTTGTCAAATCTGGATTATCGATCGATAAGTCAGTGGGAAAAGTCTCTTCCAGGTCGATTGTTGGTACTCGATGATCTCCAATTACTGCCTGACCAACGGTGTCTACCAAGAGATATAGTGGATTTGAGTCCTGCAAAATGTTGGTGAGCCGCTGACTGGGATATTTCGGATCGAGCGGTACATAGGCACCACCGGCTTTCAGAATACCCAGTGTGGCCACTACCAATTTTATACTGCTCTGAGCGCAAACAGCGATGCGATCATCTGGTTTAACACCTCTTGCGATAAGGTAATGTGCTAATTGATTCGCCTTTGCGTTGAGTTCCCTATAATTTAGAATCTCGGCCATACACTCTATGGCAATTGCATGTCCGTCACGTTGCACTTGGGCTTCAAATAACTGATGGAGGCATCGTTTAAGTGGATATTTAACCATGGTTTGATTCCAAGTGTGCAGCAACAATGTGCGTTCTTCTGATGGTATTACTGTCAATGCTCTAACTGATTGTTGAGGCTTTCGTGTTAGCACATCAGCCATTGATTCCAGAGTTCGTTCCATGTAGGCACAGATCCGAGCTGCAGACATTGGTGAAACTATTTGAGCCGTTAGACCCAACGAATTGCAGTTGTCTTCAACCGATAAGGTTAATGGGTAATTAGTTCGCTCTTCGACCTCTATAAATCTGATTCCAGGAAGTGTCGCAGGGACATCTACTGTCGTCTGATTATGGCGATAATTTAATAATGAGCTGAATAGTGGCATGCCAGCTGGAACTCTGCTGCAACGTTGAGCCATCACAAGTTGTGCGTGTTCATGGGTTAACAACGCACTCATCCGATCATGGGCATTACGCACAGCTGTCTCGACAGTCGTATTATCAATTTCAATTCGTATTGGTAGAGTATTAATCATAGGTCCCACGGCATTGTCGTTCGCTTCACCAGCTTGAGATCGGCCGAGAAGAACGGTCCCAAAGACCACTGCATCGCGCCCACTAGCTCGAGCAAGTACCTTAGCCCAAGCTAAATGGCAAACACTAGCCAAACTAACTTGTAACTTGCGTGCATACGCCCGTAGCTGATCATTAAGTGTCTGTGACAGCTTCAGAATTGCTTCGTCGATCTCATTTCCGTCTAGGACAACGTCACTCAGACCAAATGGTAAGGTTGGCTCGTCAATATCACCGAGCATCTCACTGAAGAAATGTGTGTGTTCAGCTTGACTAACTCCTAATCGAGAATGGGCTACAATATGACGGAATGGGGTGGGTGTTGTTAACTTTTTTAAATTTCCCTCGATAATGGCGTGAATCTCTGCCTCCAATACCTCATGTGATGAATGATCAATGATTGAGTGATGCATTAATTGCAGTGCCACCCAGCATCCTTCAGACGTTGGCGCAGCCATCAAACGCAATAGTGGTGCCTTTGTCAAATCCAAACGGTAGCTACGCAGGTCAAAGCGGTGGCTAAGCTGATTTAGTACTGGTTCACCATGATCTAATATAACTTCTGTGAGTATCGAAGGAACTTTGCGCAATACGACCTGCACCGGTTCACTGAGACCTTCCCAGAAGAGGGCAGTGCGCAAAATATCGTGTCTCTCTATCACTTTTTGCAAAGCATATGAATAGCGTTCAAGTGTCGTATGGTCATCAAATTGCATGCGGCTTACTATCAAGTATGGATCACCCTGCTTAGATCTCAGATGATGGAACAACATGCCATGCTGTAAAGGAGCCAAACAATAAACATCTTGAATATTAGCTACGCCACCAGGTATCTGTGCAATAATTCCATCAATTTCCGCCTGAGAAAGAGTGATGAGCGGTAACATTTCTGGAGTAATCTCTGTGCTGTCTGTGGTAATCAGATTGGGTGGAATAGTAACTGCATGGTAACGGGTGAGGGTCGAAGCCAACATTGCTAAAGAAGGAGCATTATACACTTTCCGTACCGTTGTCTTCAGTCCAAAAGCTCTCAACTGTGCCAAAAGTCGTGTGACCAACAACGAATGACCTCCCAGCGCAAAGAAATTATCATATCGGCTAACTAGTTCGATCCCAAGCACTTGACGCCAGATATCGGCCAGTTTTTCTTCCATTTCACCTTGTGGAGCTTCATACTGTTGATGGACAAACGCTTCATCGTCCGGAGGTGGTAGTGCCCGTCGATCTAGCTTGCCATTGGGTGTGAGTGGTAATGATTTTATACAAACATAAGCCGCTGGTACCATATACTCAGGCAATAAGTGCAATAGATAGGTGCGTAAATTTTGGACCAAAGATGTTACAGTATCGGCTACCACATAAGCCACAAGACGAGCATCTAATTCGTTGCCATAGGATTGTACGACTGCTTCGTGTACCTGTGGATGTTCGACTAGGTGGGCTTCGATTTCACCGGGCTCAATTCGAAAACCTCGAATTTTTACTTGTTGATCCGTGCGGCCCAAATAGACCAGATTGCCATCAGGCAAATATCGTGCTCGATCGCCGGTGCGGTACATGCGTGCTGCTGGATCATCACTGAATGGATCGAGTAAAAAACGTTCTGCGGTAAGTTTTGGATGGTTTAGATAGCCACGAGCTACGGCAGCACCACCAATATACATTTCTCCCTCGGCTCCCAGCGGCACTAGTTCGCCATGGGCATCAAGCAAATAAATTCGTTTGTTAGGTAGCGGACGACCGATTGGTGTGAACGAGTTTTCAGAAATCGTGATATGACAGATCCAACTTGTTGCAATCATAACGGTTTCGGTAGGGCCATACATATTGACCAATACTGTTTGAATTTTATCATATTTCTCATACCAGTCCTTTACAATTGATGGTTCTAGCGCTTCACCACCAAATATTACATAGCGTAGTTGATTGAATTGCGAACAAATCTTCTGCGCTCGCATTAGCATTTTGAATACTGAAGGGGTTTGAGTTAGTACAGTAATACCGCTGGTACAGATCCAATCATAAAATTCGTCTGTAGAACGAGTGAGTTTAAATGGTACAATCGATAATTGACTTCCATTTAATAATGCTCCCCATAACTCCCATACAGACATGTCAAACGAAATGGAATGGAACAAACACCACTTATCCTGTGCATTAAAATCAAATTTATCATGTACCGATTGGAATAGATGTGCTGCATCATGATGTTCAACCATAACTCCTTTCGGTGCTCCTGTTGAACCAGAGGTGTAGATAACATAAGCCAAATTGGTTGGAGTGACTCCGAGCTTTTCAGCGTCCGGATTATCCATTGGTAAATCGACGGGCAACGGTTTGTCCAAGTCGATCACTGGCACTTGATGGTTTCCGAGTGCACTACGGCCAGCAGCATCTGCTATTATAAATATAGGGTTCGCATCCAGTAAAATATTGGCCAGTCGTTGACTTGGATAGACAGGATCAAGTGGTACATACGCAGCGCCGGCTTTTAGGATACCTAGCATTGCTACGATCATTGTTGTACTACGCTCAACGCAAAGTGCAACGCGATTATCTGGTTTAACGCCTCGAGTGATTAGGTAATTTGCCAATTGGTTGGCTTGAACATTGAGTCCTGCGTAGCTTAAAGTATCTCCTTTATACTCAACAGCAATTGCCTGTCCATCACATTCCACCTGCGCTTCGAATAATTGATGAAGACAGCATGCAGGTGGATAAGTAACCGCGGTTTCATTCCAGCTTTGTAGTAGCAAGGTGCGCTCTTCTGGTGGTATCACCGTTAATATACGAACTGGTTGTTGTGGCTTGTGAGCTAGTGCGTCAGCAAGAGAAACCAGAGTTTCTCGCATATAAGTACAGATTCGAGCTGCTGACACTGATGACACCACGTGAGCAGACAGGTTCAAAGCTCTACCGTTGTCATCCAGAGACATGTTTAAAGGGTAATTTGTTTGTCCCTCACCGCCAAAGAATGTGACTCCTGGAAGTGACGCATTTACCTGCTCCGTCTTCTTATTATGGCGATAGTTGAACAATGTACTGAATAATGATGAGCCAGCTGGAACACCACTACAGCGTTGTGCTAACACAAGAGGTGCATGTTCATGTGCCAACAACGAACTCAAACGAGCATGGGTATGTCGCACTGCGGTCTTGACACTCGTATCATCAATATCTATACGTATTGGTAGAGTGTTAATCATCGGTCCCATGATAATATTGTTCTCTTCTCCAACCTGAAAACGGCCAGAAAGTACAGTGCCGAAGACAACTGCCTCGCGTCCACTAGCTCGAGCAAGTACTTGTGCCCAAGCCAAATGGCAAACACTAGCCAAACTAACTTGTAACTTGCGTGCATGCGCCCGTAGCTGATCATTGAGTGTCTGTCGTAGCCACAATTGTGCTTCATTGATCTTAGTTCCATCCAGAGAAACATCACTCAAACCAAACGGCAAAGTTGGTTCGTCAACGTTAGCAAGCATTTCGCTGAAGTATTGGGTGTGATCAGTCGGATCAAGTGCCAACCGCTCATAAGCCACCACTTGGCGAAATGTTGTAGAAATCGTAAGTTTTTCAGTCCGTCTATCGTCTATAACACGTATTTCTGACTGCAGTTTTTCCAGTGTAGTATGATCCCCAATCAAGTGATGCATCAGTTGCAGTGCCACCCAGCATCCTTCAGATGTTGGTGCAGCTAGCAAACGCAATAGTGGTGCCTGCGTCAAGTCTAACCGGTAGCGACGTTGATTGAATCGGAGGCGCAACTGATCCAATACCGGTTTACTGGTATCATGCAATGTAATCTCAGTGAGTAATGAAGGAACTTGACGTAAAACAATCTGTGCCGGTTCACTTAGACCTTCCCAGATGAAGACGGTACGAAGAATATCGTATCTTTCTATCAATTGTTGCATGGCGGACACATAACGGTCAAGTTTTCTCCGATCAGAAAAACTCAGTCGGCTTATTAGCAAGTACGGGTCGCCGCGTTCACCCATTAAATGATGGAACAACATCCCATTTTGTAGAGACGTCAAGCTATAAATATCTTGGATATTAGCTACTCCACCAGGTACCCGTGTAGTAATTGCATCAATTTCTGCCTGTGAAAGCGTGATGAGCGGTAACATTTCTGGAGTAATCTTCGAACTGTATGTTGTAATGAGATTGGGTGCAATAGTTACTGCCTTGTAACGGTGGAGCGTCGAGACCAATATAGCCAGACTGGGAGCATCAAACACTTTGCGTACGGTGGTATCCAATCCGATCTGTCTCAACTGTGCCAACAGTTGTACGACTAGCAAGGAATGACCTCCCAGTGCGAAAAAATTATCATGTCGACTAATCCGATCAATGCTTAGCAGTTCACACCAGATTTCGGCCAATTTCTTTTCTATTTCACCCTGTGGAGCTTCATACTGTTGACGAGCAAATGCCTCATCGTTCGGAGGTGGTAGTGCTCGCCGGTCTACCTTTCCATTGGGTGTGAGAGGCAGAGAAGATAGACAAACATAAGCCACTGGTACCATATATTCAGGCAGTAATGTCAATAGATATGTACGCAAATCTTGAGCTAACGATGCGTATGCATCGGCCACCACATAAGCAACCAAACGGGTGTCTGATCCGTTGCCATAAGATTGTACAACTGCCTCGTGCACCTGAGGATGTTCGACTAAGCGGGCTTCAATTTCACCAGGCTCAATTCGAAATCCACGGATTTTTACTTGCTGATCAATGCGTCCCAGATAAACTAGATTACCATCAGGCAGATATCGTGCTCGATCGCCTGTTCGGTACATGCGTGCTGTTGGATTATCACTGAATGGATCGGGTAGAAAACGTTCTGCGGTTAGCTCAGGCCGATTTAAATAACCACGTGCCACACCGGCACCACCAATATAGATTTCTCCGTCGGCTCCTATTGGCACAGGCTCGCCATGTGCATCAAGCAGATAAATTCGTTTGTTTGGTAACGGACGACCGATTGGTGTGAACGAGTTATCAGAAATCGTTCTATCACACATCCAACTTGTTGCAATCACAACTGTTTCAGTAGGACCGTACATATGAACTAATCCTATATGATCTGCAGCACACTTTTCAGACCATTCTCTCACGGTCAATGAATCTGAAGCTTCACTACCAAAGAATACATATCGCAGTCGATTTGATCGCGGACTGATGTCTTTTGCCTTCATGAGCATTTTGAATGCTGACGGAGTTTGACTCAGTAAAGTAATACCCTTGTCGCAGATCCAATCATAAAATTTATCCGAAGAACGGATTGTATTGTGTGATGGAATCGATAGTTGACCTCCATTCAATAATGCGCTCCATGTCTCCCATACGGAAACATCAAAAGAAATCGAATGGAACAAACACAACTGATCCCGGTTATTAAAATTAAACTTGTCTTGTACAGAGAGGAATAGTTGTTGTGCATCGTGGTGCTCAACCATTACTCCTTTCGGTTTTCCAGTTGATCCAGAGGTGTAGATAACGTAGACCAGATGATTTGGAGTAACTCCAAGCTTGGTAGCATCCGGATTATCGATTGGCAAATCGGCCGGTAATGGCTTGTCCAAGTCGATCACTGGTACTCGATTGTCTTCGAGTGTTTTTCGACCAGTAGCATCTACCAAAAGGAATATAGGGTCAGCTTCCTCTACAATATGGGTCAGTCTTTGACTCGTATAGGCTGGGTCAAGTGGTACATAGGCGCAGCCAGATTTAAGAATGCCCAGCATTGCTATAATCAATTTTGTATTTCGTTCGACACAAAGTGCGATGCGATCGTCTGTTTTGACACCTCGTGCTATGAGATAATGTGCCAACTGGTTGGCTTGGCTATTTAGTTTTTCATAGCTTGAAGTCTCTCCTTCACACTCTACGGCAATCGCTTTTCCGTTGCATTCGACCTGTGCCTCGAATAACTGATGGAGACAGCGGGCAGGTGAAAGAGGTACCGTTGTTTGATTCCAGCTATAAAGTAGTTGTTCGCGTTCAGCTTTAGGTAATAGGTTCAATTTCGCCACATTAACATTTGCTTGATCGGCACTATGGGCAGATGCGAGCAAAACTAACAAACGTAACGAAATACGATTGACCTCTTCTTCAGATAGTTGATTTGTGTCGTAGATCCATCGAAAAGCACCGTTATGTTTGTTGATTTCCAATGTCATCAAGCTACCATGAACATGCTCGCTGGCGTCATCGTGCACATTTTGCGTATCAATTAAAGACACAGCCAATGCCCGAGTGTTTTTACCACTCAAATTATTCATAGAATCCACATGGCGGATTAGTATGTCTGTCAAGCATGGCAAGTGATTAATCAATTGCTTGTAGTCATTCTTTACACTGGTCACAACATTTGAAAATGTATCATTCAAGTCGATGCATGTGTCGAATGGAACAGTCTTGGCAAATGTGCATTTCGCTAACACTTCGTTCACATGGTGCCAACTTTGAGTTGCATCCCAACCAATTTGTAATTGTGACATTTGAGTATCTCGGACAATGTAAATAAACCATGCAGTAAGCACCTCAATCGCGCTTGCACCTTTTGATTTTTGATAAGTAGTTGTAGCCCATACTGGTGATTGAGTCATAGTGCTTTGCACAAAGGAGAGTTCACACGGTTCAAAACTGGCAAGTCGTTGAGACCAGTAAGGTTCTGTAAGCATGGCCTTAGCATATGTCTTACCCAGCCATTCAGCCTGTTCGTGTGTAATAATCGGGAGCTGATCACCTTCGACGATATGACATTGATTAACGAGAGTTTGAGCTGAGATGGGCTGGCCAAATTCATCCATAAAATTACTTATTCTAACCACTCCATCCGCAGTAGTAACAAGCCAAGCATTCTCCTCGATTACCAACACTATGCCTACTGCTTTTCTACATGCAGAATCTGTTACGCGTTCCAACTTCCCAATGCTCACAGCTCGGTCAGCAAAGAGAACTTTCGATATAGCAAATGGACTGACACCACTTCCCACCCACGTGTTGGAATGTACCAGACGAACTAAAGAATCGCAGTTCCGACTCCACTGCAAAAACCCGGCTGCAACAGGTCGGCGACGATTGGCATAAAAACTTTCGCACAGCTCAACAGTTGTGATATTGCCACATTGTTCATCTATTGTGGCAACTGTAATGTTCGTTCCACATAAAACCAGATCTAAAATGAATGCCAAGTGCTCCTGTAAGGCAACGAGTTGTTCTTCTGAATGTCCCTCATGAACGTCTTCCAACAAAATGTCAAGTCGACCATTTGGACGGTCTGTCCAGAATGTTATGTGCATTTCATTAATATCAGTGATTCCACCAAAATGAGATGAGCAGCTACAACCATCAAGTGGCTCTCCATGATCATAGCACATTATATTTACATATGGACCAAAATTGGTAATTGAGCCATAGTTGGCGAGCTTCAAAATATCCTTGATTCGGTAACGCTGATGTTTCAGGATCGATTTAATTTCTTGTGCGATTCGAAGTAAGGCTTCGTGTATCGTAGCATCGCCAGGAATATGCAACAATAATGGCAAAACGTTGGATGTCATGCCAAGCTCATGAGTCAAATACGTTCCACGTACTGGCAAGCTGAGACTCACGTACTCACGACCAAGGAGGCTTCGAAGCAAAAGAGCTGAAACGCCAACGTAAAGATGAGTTTCTGGAATATCCATTGCTGCAGCCACTTGTTGAAATTTTCGGCGTTCGCTGGTGTTCAATGTCATTGTGTGCTGATGAGTTGTCTTTTTTCCAACAGAATTATTACTTCGTTGAGTGTAAGCAAAGCGCTTCAATGGCTGAACGTAAGCTTCCCAGAATTTCTCGTCTTCTTCATGTTTATCGGAAGCTTTATACTTAGCATCGGCGCGAGCAAGTGCATCAAAATGCAATTTTGGTTGTACATCGATCTCCACACCTCGCTTCAAATTATTATAGGCAGCAGTGATCAGGGATTCAACTTTTGCCCAAGATCTGGTATTTATGATGGCGCGGTGAAATTGACCATGAAGTACGTAATTATTGTTGTCGATGATATAGACTGTAAACTCGCAGAGTTTATCGTCAATCATAGCGCTAGACCGGTTCACAGCTTTTCTCATTCTTCTCAATGCCTCTTGGACTGGAGTTGAATGAGTGCTGACATCTATCGTTCGTGGCTTATGGTGAATATTCCTATCGCGAATCTGCCACAATTCTCCATCCGAATAGACAAAGCGCGTCTGCAGTAACGGAATACTCGTTGAACACAATTTGATTGCATTTTCTAAGATTTTTAGATCAAATGCACCATGGATACGTTTATAAAACCAAATACTGCATTTAGTGTCAGGATGCGTTCGTTCAATGAAGAAGATTTCACGCTGGGCACGCGTTGTTATAGTACGGCGAGGAATTTCACTATTAACAAGAGTAACCGGCATGATTACGATGACAGAGATTTTCCTTTAATTTTTGTTAATAAAAACCGCCAAAACTACAAAAGCAAATGAAATGAAAATTGTTTTAATTATTTATTTGAACTTCAAAATATTTACTCATAAACAAACAAAGCCCTCATTTAGTATATGGATGTATTAACAACTATCCCCATAGCTGCTATTCATGGGCAATATTCGGAGATATTTTGCGACACAGAGAGAATTCTCACCATTCCAATAATTCAGTTCTTTGAACAAATGAAATACACCGTTAAAAACAAGTATTGTGACAAAATGTCCATGAAAAATATTTTAAAAACGTTATCCAAGTTTCATAATACAATTTGGCTTCCATTGAAAGATTCATGTATTTTCCTTGTAATTGTAAAGTGCTGTTGAATTGGACAAGTTTCACTTTTCAGATCACCAATCTTCCTTACAGAATTGCATAAACAAGTGTCTGAGAGAAAACCAAGCTTTGAGACTTTTGTCTTTGACATCGCTTTATAAGAGATCGGTTCTATCGATTACAAATACATGGTACTTAAAATTAAGAGTACTAAATTCAAATTTGAAATAAGTATAAAATACTAATTAAAATAGTAATAAATTATAAATGGAAATTGGTCAACATTTGCTGTAAGTGCCGAAATTTACCTGGGTTCTTGTTATCCGTTACACATGTATAAAATGATATAAAATGAATTGAATAATTCTTCCGACGATTCACGTGATTGAGTAACGATTATAAATGTCACAAGCTAATTCAATCACTTTCTCAACACATTTTTTGATGTTCTCACTCGATGCTTGTAATTTAAATGCAAAACCCGATCAAAATCACAAAAGAATTTCGCACAACGTTCTTTCTGTTTATTTTAATTATTCACTTTATCGAAAAAAAAAGATTTTTTTTCATAATTTTTCTTTTATTTTTCCCCAAATAAATCTCACATCAAAAATGTTAAACGAATTAAAATGTTAATTTCGAAGAATTGTCTTTAATTTAAAAGTTTCACGTTAATTTCACAACGAAATTTTTGAACAGTAATCAGAAAACCTGTTTCATCCTCAAATATTGGCCAAATAACAACTGTTGCTCTCTCCATGGCACCAACGATATTTATAGCAGGAATATTCGCTGGAAATCTTAAATGAAATTTTGATTGAGCAGATTAAAATCTTCAAGTCGTAACGGTTTTGGTGAGAATGGTTTGATTGACATAAAATATGTTAATTTAAAAAAATGTTCAGATAAAAAAAGTGTAGAGATTACAACGTATTTTACGTTATTATGAGTAATAATTGCATACTAGTAAACATATCAAAGTTTGTCTCAAGTTTTGACGCCGTATATACAACTTTTGATAGCCGAAACAGAACTCATTGGCAAACTTTCAACTGTTGAGTTGTAAAAAGTAAGTTGTTATTTGGATCAATCGCTTATACCAATAAATTGTATGAAATCCCACTAATTTTAGATTTATAATGACTTTTTGCACTTGGAAAAGATTTCGTTCGCGATTTTAGAGAACAAACAAGTCTCACAAAATTAACTTGACTTCAAGATTTCAAAAAGTTTATAAAACACCGTAGAAATGTGTGGAAATCATCCATCATTGCCACTAAATTTCAGTTATTATAGTTAGTTGATGACTTTCAGAAATGTTTTGTGGCATTAAACATCCAGACACAGTTGAATGGGTTTACTTGTGAGCAATAGTAATGAGTAATACGTTGCAATCCGTTACTTATTTGTTAAAAATTATGTTGACGTTAACGTGTTCATTAGTAATACGTCAATTATGATGATGTTATCATTAATTCCATATCGCATCCTTACTCTAATCAGTTGCGATCTTATACAATGCTGTGATGTGAAAAAACCCAAAATTGCAAGCTATATCGTGGTACTTATTCATCTGGAATTGTGAAAAAAAAACCGAATTGGCGCTACTTTCCTACTTAGTCATTGGTGTTATCAATAAATTGTATTTTTATCTTAAGCTATTTATGTGTCATGACATTTTTTCCACTACTTCTTTTGCGAGCAAATTGAATATTAATAGTGGAAGTGGGAATATAAATCCATTATTTTCAAGCAAAATAAAGTTTTATTGCTGTGAAATAGGCATAAAACTAGCAAAAACGATGTGTTTCCTAACTAAAGTTGAACTAAACACCGAAAATTTATTTTTAGTGAAATTTTTAATCCTTTTTATATAGTTCTCCATAGTTTACAACTGAAGTGGAATCCCTGTCAATACTTCAACTGCAAATCCATCTCCTGATGCAAATAATATTTCCATTGGAACATGAATTTGATCTCGCCAACTCCGAACACGATTAAAATTTCGACTGTGAATTCAACTTTGAATAAAGTAATTTTCAGTTCTAAATGGAAATTTTTTTAAATTATCGAACGCGTAACTACATTTGCACATTTTTTGTGCTATTTGAATTTTTAGGACCGATCTGTTTAGTTTGATGGGCTTTGGACAAAATTTGATCTGGCTATAGCCTAATATATTAGCTATATATTTACAGTTCAGATAAATATCATTTTACGTCCTATTTTAGACTCAAAACTGTCAGGAAAATAAAATTGATTGGAATTGTATGGCTTCTCAAGTGATGACCCGATGACTCACCATAATTTTGCGAAAAATTGATATGCTTGGTGGGAAATTATTTTTTTCGTTTAAGCTTATATTTATCTGCGATCTCTTACTTGAACCATACATTGGGTAATCCTACACAGGCGTTCCTACAACTATTTTTGTGCTATCTAGAGTCAGTATGCGAAATACACCACAGGCCATAAGTTTGGATACCCCTATGAAACGTTTGTTTCTACGTTTTTTGAACATTTTCACTTGAAATTTAGTATTGGACATGAAAATATATCGAAATTCTGACCGAATGGATGATTTGGAAGATAAAATTTGGCCGGCCTATGGCCATCTTTTGGCCTTTGAGCTGTGGGAGCCAAAATCGAAGTCTTAAACGGGCCATCGGATTAAAAAGTTATATACGCCATTGGAAAGGTCTTGAAAAGTAGATGTGATTTGTGGTATTAAACATCAAAATCGGCCGGCGTTTGGCCAAGATATGGCCGTTTGTAATTTTGGGCCGAAATCTTCAATCAGCCATATCTTGGCCAAAAGCTGGCCGATTTTGATGTTTAATACCAAAAATGATACGTACTCTCCGAGACCTTTCCAACGACGCATAGCACGTTGAGATTGGACAAGCGGTTTGAAATTTAAAAATTTTGGGCCAAATTCATTCATAGGGGTATCCAAACTTATGGCCTGTGGTGTACGTTTGGGAGATCCTCCATTAAAATGGTTGAAATCTTTCGAAATTAATTTTTTTCTTTAAGAAATATATTTTATGCAAAGATGGGGTCGTGTTTGATTCAAAATGTTTCAGTTTTGCATATTCTTGACAAACCAATGGAAGACGTTAAGCCTCTGCCTGGAATAAATATAAAAAATATGGACCATTAAAATGTTTGTAAAAACAAAAAAGAGGAATGTGATAAAACGTAAATGCTTACAAAGCAAAAACGGGTAAAAAAAATGTTTAGCGTGATTTATTGAAAAAATTTGTTTTTAATTTTAAATAAAACAAAAAATATTCAAATTTTTTGATAAATAACATTTTCAGCGATTTGAGATTGTTCATAAATATTTCGGACGAATTGCATGTATTTTATGAGAAATAGTATTTTGATTTCGTCCTAAAATTAGCACAGCGGCTATAAATGATTTTTTGGATAGCAATTTACATGCAGGCTCAAAAGGCATCAGAATGGGTTGGTAAAGTGAAATACATTGATCGAAGAGACGTGTAACTTGTAAGTAGATTACAATAAAATACATAAAAACAGAAATGCGATAAAAGGAGAGCAACTTATAAGTTTAATATCTCAGTGGAACAATTTTCGAAAAATCTGGGATTTCCATTTTCTCGACTTTGGCGTTTTTATCATGATTTTTTGGCAATATGGACTACGTCAGATTTTGTTAATAAATCGTTTATTTTTGCTGATAGCGTCTTACTGTCTCTGGCAAAATTGTAGCTGAGAGTCCAATAAACAAATTTTGTCACATATTTACTCCAAAAAATTACATTATTGATTGGTGTTATTGGACAAAATGTTGAAAAAATGGTCGATTTTTTCAATTTTTTGATAATAAATCGCAGCGTATTCAATTAATATCTTATAGAGAGAATGAAAAAAACCTTACACAAGAAATCGATGTCCGTACAAATATGTAAACAACGGAATGAAATAAAAATCTCAGGGTTGGGATCGTATGTCATTGACATTTGTTATTTGTCGGCGGGAACTTTGCATTGTTTTGAATTGTGAATAGCCGATTACTAGTATTCAAGAAAAAATCCGTTCAAAATTTCAGATGTAATTTTTGAACTTTTTAAAAAAAATTATCCGTTGTAGTAATAAAAGTCAGTGTTAAATAAAATCCAATGTTGATATGGCGCAAATATTCGGCTAAGATTTTGCAAACAGTATCAACTTCATATTTTGTCAAATACATTTTTGAAGAAGGTTGAGACCAAGTAAAGCAGTGTATTTTGCCATTCTTACTATTTCTCCTATTTCTCCAAGTTCTCCTCCATGCCTGCTTGTCAAATAAACCAAGCGTTCATCTTAGAATAGCTTAGCGTGCACTCCATTTAATACTCGGTATTATATACCGGTATATCGCACACGCAGAGCTGACGCACGCACCTCTCTCGCGCGCAAACGCTTCGAGTTGTGAGTGTATGCCATGTGGTTCTGTGTCTGAATTGGTTGCGATCGTTGTGTATGTAAATGTGTGCGTGCGAGAGAAGTGCTTGCGGCAGCTCTGCGTGTGCGATATACCGGTATATAATACCGAGCATTAAATATAGCGTCTGCTAAGCTATACTCTCACGGACGCTTGAAATAAACCTACAATCAGCTGTTTGAATCATATATGACATCGCGTACAAAACTTGAGCAACTATTTCACGAAGAGTTGGAAAAGAATGATTTCTTTTCAATTTCTCTCATTGAAATATGAATTAAAATGAATTGAAATGAATTATTATAGGTTTTCATAAAGTTATCCACTAGCATTTTACCTATAAGTTTCCACTAAAAGTTCTTTTCAATTTTTTACAGGTTTATTTCCACATATAAAAAGCATTTAGTTTCCTTTTATAGCAACATTGCTAGAGTCTTTATTCAATAGTGAATATTAACCCTCTGTCTGACAGACGTTCCAATAACCTTTCGTCTGACAGATGGTGTCTGGCCAGACCCCTATATATTTACATGCATCTCTATGCATTTTGGTGCAAATTAGAGGTGTATTCAAGCGCATTTCTATACAAACCAGGTATATATTTTTCGTTTAGAAACGAACTTACCTTTCTCAGTGTTTGTGGCATACGTTCACCTACCTGTAAAAGCAAAAATATTACCTGAAAAAAATCGAATTGTGAAAAAAACCCAGTTTTTGTTTGTCATATTTTTTTCGTTGTATTTTGAACAAAATGCATGTCGTTTGCTATTATAAAAAGGGATATGAATGTTTTTGTTTAGGAAATATGATTCGAACTCTCTTATGGGTTCTCAGAAGTGGACGTAACGCAAGAAAAACATGTATATGTCCTTAGAATGTTGTTGACATACTGGCGATGAACACACGAAACAGTAAAAACGAGTTTTACGGCGAATTTTTTCGTCTCCGTGTAAACAAATTTTACAGTCTCTCTTGGCTGTGAGTGTATCGACGCCGCTGGTATTAGTAGCCACAATATTTAGTGGAATGTTGATTGGTCTACCGAAGAACGATTCAATACCCGAACGGACAGTAAAATGTTTGATTACGTGAACATTGTACAATACACACACAGCACACAAAAAGATATACATACACCGCTGTATATGTATTTTCGCGCCAATTCTGCGTTCAGTGTACACTTCTTTCAGCGTTACTAGGCAAATGATACGAATATTAAGATAGAAAGACCTCAAAAGCAAGAATTCACATATGTCTGCGCATGTTGCCCAAGTCGATAGATAAATTAGAAATATATTAAATTACCGATTGAAAACGAAAAAGGTCTGGCTGGAACCATTTGTCAGACGGAGGGTTAAAAAATCTTATGAAATAATAGAAAATGTGAATCAAAAGTAATGTTGGTTCCAATCATACGAATCGGATCTCTTAATTTTGATCAATTTAAAATTGGTGTTTCCATGTTCGGTGGTCCATTTTGTTTTCAAGAAAATGCTGTCTGGAACAAAAATTGTTACTTTTTGTGCTTCAAATAATTTACCCCGTTCCTTATTCAATGTGTTCAACTTAAGTAGTCCTCCATTGAAATGAGCTTCACCTTTGGGGATCACTTTGATTTTGGTGACTTTTGGTGCTAGGCGAATGAATGGCAGAATGTCATCGATTGTTGCATTGCCAATGTAAACACGTTGAAGACTCACTAAACTGTTCGCCATCATCTCCATGTCGTTGGACTTTGCTCCATCTAAAATAGCCAATTCTTTTAAATTCGTTAATCGAGTCAAACTGTGGCATTCTGTCCAATTTCTAATGCATAATTTCTCCAGTACGGGCAGTGAAGTCAACAGATTACTATGATCTTTGTCGATGTCATAAGTGAAAAAATGTAATCGTTTATAGAAACCACGGTCGTACAGTTTCTTCAATACATCACCGAATGTTTTTGGAATGGGCCGAAAGCCGTGAGCATCTTTCACTTCCAATAAGTCCAGTTGAATGTTTGTTTTCATTAGTCCAACTCTGGTGTAAATACTGGGGCTGTTTGTCGATAAAATTCGGACACTGGGATTGTTTTGGAAAAATAGTTCCAAAGTCTTGACTGATGGAGCCGGAATCACTTCCAAGTGTTCAAGTTTTGGATATGTTCGATGCAGCCATGGGACACGAATATTCTGTTCAAGCCTGAACAAATAACGCGAACGAGTTTGTTGTATAAGTAGATGTTTTAAATTGTCACAATGAGTCAACACATTATTGTGTAAATCTCCGCGAAGCCAACAATTTTTTATGCTTATGGTTTCGATTTTGGGCCATATTTTCTTTATGAGTTCGCTTTTTTCCTCGTTCAGAGTTAAACCAGAAAAGCAAATCTTGTAAACTGAATCAAATTCTCTAATATTCCGGCGAATATATCGCAGTGGTTTGAGTTCATTTGAACTCTGTGTGATGCTTGTGATGAATTGGGTAAATGCAGTAGTTGAAGTATGCCCATTAATGGAATGTTTATAGTCTGGATACACTGTGTCAATGCCTCCATTTTTTATGTGTGTTTCAGCCGCTGAATAATTTCGTTTGAAATACTCGCCGGCCACTTTTTGCATCGTTTTGCATGTTTGCCCGAATGAATGCAGGTCTTTCAATGATAAATACTCGAATATTTCGTCAAAGCAATCGATAACTAGCTTAAAAATTTGCGGCTTTGGCAGTGGCAGTGACTGCTCATTCGATGGACCAGCGATTGCTACCAGATTTCCATCTGGCTCCTCTCTGTGACTCAGCTTTGGTCTTTTCGGTGCATTTTCTTCGTCACTCATTTTTGGCAAGTTTTATCAAAAGGTGATAGTGTTTGTAAGTAAATTTTGTACTGTGAAAAGAACGAAATAATTGAAACAAACTGAGTAAAAAAAATTTCAAAGTATGAATTAATTTTGAAACAAACAAACCTTGACCTAGCTAAACGTTGGACTTGAATAATTGTTGATAGCAATACACGCTGATATAAAAACCAAGAGTCGGCTACAACAAAATGTGTAAACTATTTTTCAACAAGACGGCAAGAACATTAGCGTCAGTATTGACACTGAAATTGACATTTGCTGTCATTTGTCATTAAGCCGATGCTGAACATGATACATCCTTTTCGTTCTGTGAACCAACCTTTAGTCCGTTGAATGAAACATGAATTTTATGCCGTTTTTTTTATTTTTATTAAATTTGTTTTTGAAAAAGATTTGTCTTTATTTCATTTAAACTATTGATATCAATATAAAAAAAGTTGGTTCTATAAATTTTCAACAATATTTCCTTAGAAACAATCCAGATCCCAGTCATATGAATCGGACCTCTTAATTTCAATCAAGTTTGAATTTCAACCACTTGGTTTTCAAGAAAATATTGTCTGGCACATAAATTATTACTTTGCGTGCCCCAACGAATTTCTCACGTTCCTTGTTGAATGTCACCAGCTTGAAAACTCCTCTTCGTTTCTGGGGATCGCTTTGAGTTTGGTCAGTTTTGGTGATCGACGTATGAATAGTATCTTCGATTTTTGCATTGTTCGTTAGCAAAAAAATATAAATCTCGGCTGTGGCCGTGGCAGTGACTGCTCATTTGATGGACCAGCAAATGCCTCTTCATTTTGATCTTGATCATCTTCATGGGTCAGCTTTGGTCTTTTTGATGCATTTTCTTTGTCACTCATTTTCAATCAGTGGTCATAACATTTGCCGGAGATATTCTGTGAATAGTTGTAAACAGTCCCCGCAGCACCTGCAAATAGTTTTTCTGTTGAATGAAAAAATTTAATCATGATTTTTAAATAATATCAAACCCAACCATCGCCCCATTAATTGAAAATATTGTTCCCGTGCAAATGTTCTGTAGAGTGTCAAAAGTGGTTCACTTTGTTGCAATAGTCAAACCAAGTCATCGGTACACACAAAGAGGTGACAGGAATTGTCAAATGCAAATTCCGTGTTTATTTGATGCACATTTGACATTTCTCCACATCATCTGTCAAACCCTGAACATTTTTCACTTTCCACGAATTCGCACACAGTCGAACGAGTTTCACAAACGGGTGCTGTATGTGTGAAACAACGATTATGCATCGTAGACAAAACATTCAGCATGCTTATGTGCATGTGATTGTCGTATATTCTTCCAATGTCATTGTCACTTGCGTTGTGAAACAGTAAACACAAATTGATTCTCATTTCGGCTAAAATCACAACAAACACCATTTTTGTGCCTTTTCATTGTCTAGTTTTTGTGTTTCATGTTTTTTTTTTGTATGTCATTCATTGAACGAGAATTTCCAGTGGATATTTTAACTACAAATTTTAAATCATAAAAATATCCATTAGTTTTTAAGTTTGTGTTCGTATTCGGTCAAATAAATAACCAAAATGCCAACCATTCTACCATTTCGCGCTGAATACGCACAAACAGCAAGGAATTGGTGCAAAAAATGTCGTAGAATTATTCAACGAGACACCGTACAAATTGGCATCATGCGACAGGTGGTTTTTTTTTTATTTTAATTTTTTTTTTACTCAATTTTTTCGTTCTTTCTTTTGAATTGAAACCAGTCAAGCATTATTTTTACGCAATTGGATCAAATAGCAAATTTTCTATCCAAACAAACTAACTTACGAGCGAAAATTTTGCGAGAAAAAAAAAATCTGAAGTTCCGCAGGCACTAACTCCGTACTAATGTATGACATTTTTACTTTTTTTTCTATACATAGAGTTTGGTTGACGACTGCCTTAAACCCGAATGGTACGATATGACTTGTTTCTTCAAAATTCGACGTCCCATATCGGAGGACTTTATCGAAGGGTTTGCCAATCTGCGATACAGCCACCAAGGGCAAATCCGATATAATTTAGGTAAGAAACAAATTTTCGCTCCATTTGGTTCTGTACATTGTCAATTTGCTTATTCCTTATTTAACACAATGTGTCTCACTATTAGGTTATGATGAAAATGGCATATCGATTGGAGAACAGCCACCGGCAAAAAAATGCAAAATCATCAATGCTGCATTGGAAAAAGAAATCGAAATTCAAAGTGACGAATTATTCAAGATTTACGACAAACTCAAAGGTTTCAATGAACGTGACGGTGATTGCTTGGCCATTTTGAAGGCGAACAATCAATATGCTCCGGACAATTATGCAGAGGTAAAGAGAAATTCTTGCAGCAAGTTGAGATTGAGTCGATTTCCATCATATTTTCAAACTATTTCGGGATAATTTCCATTGTTTGATTTTTTGTTCAAATTTTTCTGTCTTCGTTCATTATGATTTTTTTCTATTTTCATCTAATTCGTTGAAAAAAAATATTTCTCCTGTAATATTGAATTTTTTTTCCACTTGCAGACGTTGAATCATCTATGCGATGTCTTGTATTTTGGTGCATTGGCACCATGTCCATTTTGCAAAGGTGGCAAGTTTGTGTTCCGAAATTTCGTTTATCGTTGCACTGGATACGATTCTCCGTGGTCATCATGCACCCATACGGTGAGAGAACCACAACGCATTCCAATCGATTTACCGGAAAAATACCAAGAAATATTGGGCACCGATTTTGAAGTGCGTACTCGCATTCTTCGCGATGTCACCAAGTTCAATGAAGATGACTTTGAGTAAGTAAATGCGTAAAAATGGGTAAAAATGCGTAAATTTAAAGTCAAGGTTGCATTTTTGATAAATATTTATGATTTTAATGACAAATATTTTTCTCGCATACTTTTCACTTGGTAGATGTGAATCCAGTATTTATTTATTTGTAAAAAAAAAGAAGTTAAATTGAGCTCAATTCGATTCTCTCTTCTTCTTTATTCTTGTTCTTATTGCTAGAATATACACAAAACAGCCATTGTTCGATATGGAATTTTGTATTGTCGGCGAAACGGGAATATCACAAGAAGACATCGAAAAAAAGATTGAAGCAATGGGTGGAAAAATCACATCAAAAGTCCACACGAGTCTCGCTGCAGTCATTTCAAATGCAAATGAGGTGAAAAATTACTCCGAATTGATAAAAGACGCGTTTATTCATCGAATTCAAGTGATACCAGACGATTTTCTCAACGAAGTTATGGAAAACGATCCAATCGAAGTGATTGTGAAGAACGATTTGACCAAATGGGGAAAGGATGTACGTTTGTCTATTTAGTCACACTTTTTACACAATTTTGTCACGCAATTAAGTTGTTGTTGTACAATTTTGCTTGAACGTTAACGTTCATTGAATTCAGATCTTAGGTTGAAAAACTTTACAACGAGATTGGATCGATTTTAACACTTTTTCTCATTTCATGTAGCCATACGAACGTATGCCAGAACGAAAACCCATCTTTCGGCCGGTCAGCACAAATGATCGCCCGGGACGGAATTACATTTTTGATCCAAATACTGGTGATAAAAATGGAGACGCTGTTGTTCAAGAAGCTGTATTGGATTTCGTCGATACCACATCAAACAAGAACACATACTGCAAACTGCAGTTGCACCGAGTCGCATATGGAACCTCACAGTAAGTGTGCTATAGAAAATCATCTCCACTCAAATTAGTCAATTCAGCAATGAATAATTTTGAATTGAAAAGATTTGAATTCATTTGATTAAAGAATAAGTTGGAAAAAACAAATCAATTTAATTTGCAGATACTCAGTAGATGAGTCAATGGGTCGAATTGGCACATCAGTTGGCACCAATAATCGAAAGCACTATACAACCCTGGACCTAGCCAAAATTGAGTTCAACAGGATCTACTTTGAAAAGACTGGCAATGAATTTGGTACCACGAATTTCGTGAAAAAGCCTGGACTTTACAATCATGTGCTCATTGACAACGAATCTCTGGAAGTGAAGCGAAGCTCGCTAGCAAATGGCCCAGCGACAAAACTCTCAAAACCGTTATACGAACTAATGGAGCTGCTGTACAGTGATGACCATGTGTTCAATTCAACATTGATTGAATTTTGTTTCGATCTCGACAGTATGCCACTGGGTAAATTGAGTAAGACGCAAATTCAAGCAGCAATGAATATTTTGGGTGAACTCTCATCGGTACAATGCACAGAAAATCGTCAACAAATCATCGCCCTGTCAAATCAATTTTACTCATACTTTCCACACAATTTTAGTCATCGTCGACCACCCATCATCGAGACATGCAAAATGATCGAAGAAAAAATGAACATGCTGCAACATCTGCTGCAAAAAGAACTGCGATATCAATTTTTGATCAGCGAATCGAATCAAGAGAGAAACTTGCTCGATTTGTGCTATGCACAGCTTGAAGACTCGGCCGAAATTACCATGCTGAACAAATCATCGGGAATGTATACGCAAATCTGTAATTACATCAATAACACGCAATTGCATGTAAATAATCAAAGTTACTATGATCCGGGTGCGTTTGAAGTTAACGAAGTATTTGAAGTTTTACGCCATGAAGAGCTCATGCGATACGCACCGTATGAGAATAACTTCAATCGCCAATTACTGTTTCATGGATCACCGATTCAAAATTTTGTCGGTATATTGACAAATGGCTTGAAGATCTCACCACCGGAAGCCATGGTGAGAGAATAATTTTATTTGGATTTACTTTTAAACTTTGAATTTTCGCGAAAATTTCAAATTCCTCAATTTTTCCTTCCTATTTTCTTTATCTTTTTAAATTCTGTTCTGTCATTCTAGTTCTGCGGATCCATTTTTGGAAGAGGCATCTACTTTTCGGACTCAGTGTCAAAATCCGCCGGCTACTGCCGTTCTGGAAGCAAGGGATTCGGATTGGTTTTGCTGTGTGAAGTGGCGGCCGGTATTACTGACATTCGTTATAAACACGATAACAAAAAATTGATCGACTACTGTGAAACCGTGCAAGCTTTGGGTGAGTGACCCGAATTTTGTCATAAAACTTTCAAAAATAGTCATAAATTTTAACAAAATGAACATAAAATTTATTAAAACTGACACAAAATATATCCGAAAATTCCGCTTTAGGTCAGTACTATCCACATCCACTGCATATTCGACCTGATGGCCTTAAAATTCCAAACGGTACGCTCATTCGACGAAGCGAAAATACTGGCATTACGTTCAATGAATTCGTTGTGTCCGACGAGTCTCGCGTGAAGATTCGATATCTCGTCAAATTGAAGTTCAACATCGCGAAGCGTGAATAACTGTCTTTGGTCTTCCTAGTGTATCCATCTCAAAAGTCATCGTCACAAAATAACTATTTTCCATATAAACATGAATTCAACACATCGTTACCTCTCCTTAAACAATCATTAGCATTAAATTCAGTAAATTCAATATAATTTTGACTAAATACGCAAATAAAGTTATTTCTTGACAATTTTTCTTTAATTATTTTTTTATTGAAAATTTCAAATGAGGTTGGAAAATATGCGCAGAAATTATTTTTCGCAGGACTTCAACCCATACTTTAGCGCAATTATATTTACTCATAGTAAAGAAAATAAAAACAGGATTTTATAAAATTAAGAAAATTGAACATTACGGATTTAAGTAAGAAAAAAACAAATTCAATAACAAATTTGATTCCATTCATATGAACCAGATCTCTGCATTTCGACAAATTTTAGGTTCGTGTCACCATGTTTGGTGGTCCATTTGGTTTTCAAGAAAATATTGTCTGGCACATAAATTGTTACTTTCCGTGCTCCAACCAATTTCTCACGTTCCTTGTTGAATGTCACCAGCTTGAGAACTCCTCTGTTGAAATGAGCTTCGTTTCTGGGGATGACTTTGAGTTTGGTCAGTTCTGGTGATCGACGAATGAATGGTAGTATATCTTCAATTGTTGCCTTGCCAATGTAAACACGTTGCAAATTGATTAAATTGTTCGCGAGAATGTCCATATCAGTAGCATTGGCTCCATCCAAAATAACCAATTCCCTCAATTTGATGAGTCGAGCCAAGTCGAATGTTACGGTAAATCTCTCGATGCATAGCTTTTCGAGTGCAGGCATCAAATTCAATTCGATGCTGGATTCTTCGTCAACGGTGTTGGTGCAGTGATGCAAACGTTTGAAGAAACCGCGTTCATAAAGTTCCCACAATACAGATGACATTTCCTTGACAGAAACATATGAAGCTTTAATCTGTAATAAATCCAATTGTACATTTAATTGCATGAATTCATTTTTGTTACGCCAAAAATCGAATCCACTGGTTGAAAAGCTTTTTACATTCCGATTTTTTTGAAACAATAAATTCAACTCAACCATCGGTGGAATTGGAATCAATTCTAAATGTTCAAGCATTGGATATTCACGATGAAACCATGGGACACGCACATAGGGATCAAATGCAGGCCATTTAGCTGACTGTACACAAAGACGTTTCAAGTTGTTTTTACAATGTCGCAGAAATATTTCGTGTAAATCTTCGCAAATTGAACATCCTATTAAATGCACCGTTTCAACATTGGGCCATATTCTTTGTAATTCTTCACCTTTCTCTTCATCAAAATCTAGATTCTTGAAACAAACACGTCGAATTGAATCAAACTCTCCAAAATGGCGGCGAATATAGCGCAGTGGTTGAAGGGCGTAAGAGCGATGTGTGATGTTCGTAATGAATTGGCTGAATGCAGTAGTTGAAGTACGTCTATTAATTGAACGTTTATAGTCCGAATACACTGTGTCAATGCCTCCATTTTTTATGTGTGTTTCAGCCGCTGAATAATATCGTTTGAAATATTCTCCGGAAACTTTTTGCATCGTCTTGCATGTTTGCCCGAATGAATGCAGGTCTTTCAGCGATAAATACTCGAATATCTCGTCAAAACAATCGATGTCCAGCTTGAAAATTTTCGACTGTGGCTGTGGCTGTAGCTCTGGCTGTGGCTCTGGCTGTACCTGCACCTTTGATGGACCGGCTTTTGGATTTCGATATGGCCCATCTCCATGAGTCAGTTTTGGCCTTTTCCAAGGACTTTCTCCGTCACTCATCCTAAACTTGTCGAAAAAATACACGAGCATGAATAAATCATTTGTATAGACTGATTAAACAAACAAACCTTTTGAACAGAACAGGAGTAAACCATATACAAAATCTGGCTGTATGAAAAAAATGTGCAAACACTAATAATCACAAGAAGTTTGACATTGACATTTACTTTCATTCGATTTGAAGTTGGTGTTGTGCCTGACGTCACTCACTCTTTGAACTCAATTCAAATAAATAAAATTTTAACATTTATTTTTACGTAATTTTACAAATTTTCATTCAATTTTCTTATTTTTTGTTGTTGTTCAATTGATGTGTTTAATCAAAATATAACTTTTCAAACACATCTTCAAGTTATCTTATTTCAAATCCAACGTGTATGTTCCCACACTAAATACATCTGTTATGTCTAATGCCCCTGCATTTAATGCACACCACTTACAACGGGAATAAATGTTGTTTGTAAATAAACCGTCAACTGTTGATAAAATTATGAAAGTAGTTTCACAATTCAAGTTGTTACTCAATTTCAATGGTGTTTTATTTCGATAGTCTTTATTTTCATCAAATATAAAAAAATTTCCAACAAAATAAATTACAATCGTGTTGGATAATTTTATTTTCAATAAAAAGTTTGGTTCCAGTCATACGAATCGGATCGTCGCATTTCAATCAATTTCAAGTTGGTGTCACCACTATTGGTGGCCCATTTTGTTTTCAAGAAAATATTGTTTGGCACATAGATTTTAACTTTTTGTGCTCCGAATAATTCTTTGCGTTCTCTGTTCAATGTTTTCAACTTGAGCAATCCTCCATTAAAATGAGCTTCATCTTTGGGTATCGCTTTCATTTTTTTGACTTTTGGTGCTAGACGAATGAATGGTAGAATATCATCGATTGTCGCATTGCCAATGTAAACACGTTCAAGACTCACTAGGCTAGTTGCCAAAATCTCCATATCGTTTGGGTTTCGCTCCATCTAAAATAGCCAATTCCTTCAATTTGGTGAGTCGAGACAAATTGAATGTTTCGGTAAAATTCTCGATGCATAGCTTTTCAAGTGCAGGTAGCCAATTCAATCTTTTGCTGGATTTTTCGTCAACATTTTGGACGTATTATAGTAAAAAACGTTATTAATTTTGAACGTTTTTTAAATAAATCCCCGACTTTTGGCCATTTAATTTGCACTTCTTCACAACCCTGTTCATTAAAATGTAGAGACGAAAAACAGACACGTCGAATTGAATCAGACTGTTTCAACTGTCCACTGATGTCATCATCATCTGAACTATGTGTAATGTTCGTGATAAATTGGCGCTGAATGCAGCAGTTGAAATAGGTTCATTGATAACACCGTTATCGTCTGAATACACTGTTTCAATGCCATCCTTTTTTATGTGCGTTTCAGCAGCTGAATAATTTTGCATGAAATATATGCCAGCCACTTTCTGCAGCTTCTTACATATTTGACCGAATGAATGCAGGTCTTTCAGCGATAAATACTCGAATATCTCGTCAAAGCAATTATTGTCTAGCTTGGATATTTTCGGGTGTGGCTGATAATTCGATGGACCAATTGCAATTGCTACCAGATTTCTATTCGGCTCCTCTCCGTGACTTAGTTTCGGTCCACTTTCATCGTCATTCATCTTCAACACTCACAAATAAGTGTAATAGTCTCTGTTAACAGTTTCTGTGCTGTAAATAGAACGAAAAATCTATAAATTGTTGGATGTGATGAAACCGGCAAAATTATAACGAAACAATGAACCTTGACTTTGACAAGACGAAAATGTGAAATAATCGGATTGAAAAAAAAAACTTGATGTAGACGTTTAATGCCGTTCGACTTGAAGTTGTCATTGTTCAAAATCTCAATTTAAATTTTTATCAATTCAAATTTTCATGAATCAAATCAACTTAAATTTGACATCTTACACCGAACACAGATCAATGTTAAACTTGCTATAATTTGAATTTTGACATCATTTTCTCAGCCCCATTGGAACGAAATTTCATGTGGATTTAATAATCATATCTAATTTTTTTTACTCTCGCAGTATTAATTTAACGCATAAAAAAATCGTAATAAAAAAGTCGTTAAAAATGGTGTCTTGGTTTGAGTTCCAAATGAATTCCTTTCTCAGTCTTCCAATTGATAGTTTTGTTGACCAATTTCAAAAGTATTTGAGTCTCTTCGTATGTTTGAATGTTGAAATGTAGAGAGATGCTCCATGAGAGCGAACCAGGAGTAGCCTTGGTAGCAAAAAATTTGAGACCGATTTAGTGGGAAAAAACGGTGAAAAAAATTATATTCTCCAAATTTTGAAATTATATACGCTAACACACTCTCTCTCTGAAGAAGAAAATTTTCAAAAAAGTGAAAAATGTGCAAAATACAGCCATAAATTGTTTTTGGCCAAAATGGAAATCTTTACAAATGGCCATTTTTTGCACTTTTTTTTATTTTCTCTAACTTTGAGGTGCTATAAAATCCACATTGATGCACAGATCGAAGTGAAAATTTGATGGAAGTAAGATAAATCCTTAACGAACACAAAACGTGTTTACAATCGGTTATATGTGCATTGGTTCACTTTTTACACAACTGATAACAGACCTACCATTTTGTGTTACCATATGGCAACGCTAAGCACAAACGAGTTAAATATGAAAATAAACACAATCGTTCCCCCACTAAATACCATTACAGTCTATCTCACTCTACAACATATTTTACTTATTTTTGCGAATCTTTTACCATGGTATTGACATAAATCCATAAATGTACCTGAAAATTTGAGAAGCGATTTTTTTTCATTGAAAGTGGCTTAAATAATTGTTTACATAGCTTTTGTTATAATATTTATTTAAATATAACACACATACATTCGAAAAACCTGCATATAGTGACAGCTACTATATACACAGCCACACACGCAATTTTTTACATGAAGATTTCGCAAATTCAGCGATGACCATATTGTGTAATGCGGTATTATTAACACTTTAATGTCGGTATTTTTTTACATTTTTTTTCTACCTATTTTGAATTCATTGTTTCCAAAATTATTTTTACATTCTCATGTTACATTCATGGAACAAAGCAGGTATCACTTTGCTTCGGTTTGAAAAAAAAATTGATTCAATCGTTTCAATTATTATTGACCATCAATATAAATTAGGCAATGGGCTTGATCTGAAACTTGAATGAAATATTTCGTTGAAATAAACCTAGTTTTTCTATGTATTAAATCTTCCTTTAACCCTCCTTCGCTCACATATTTAAAACTCTTAGATCGCTCACCTCGGGTCTGGCTGGACCCCTATGTATTTGTATGCATTTGTATGGGAATAAGGTATGCATGCCATCTTATTTTTCATGAGACTGATAAAAGATAAGTGATAACTGTCTTCAGCAAAGTTATTGAGCGGGTCAAGTTATACAATTTTTTTCTATTCGCCATCTCCTTATCTCTTATCGGTTCCGCGAAAAATGATAAGAGATATCTTACGTTTTTCGCGGTGTTTCGCGTAACTGATAAGAGATAACGAATTTATGCTCTGGGCAAAGTTGTAGTACTTTATCTGCCCTACCACTTTGTCGAAGACAGTTATCACTTATCTCTTCTTTATCTCGTTATCAGTTACGCAAAAAATGATAATCAAAACTATCCATCATGCTAGCGGTCTTCTGCGGTTTTTCGCGTATTTCACGTTACTGATAAGAGATAAGTGATGACTGTCTTCAACAAAGTGGTAGAGCAGATGAAGTACTACAACTTTGCTCAAGACATAGATTCGTTATCCCTTATCAGTTGCGCAAAAAACCGCGAAAAACGCGAGATATCTCTTATCATTTTTCGCGGAACTGATAAGAGATAAGGAAATGGTGAACTGAAATAAATTGTAGTACTTGACCTGCTCTATAACTTTGCTGAAGACAGATATCACTTATCTTTTATCAGTCTCGTGAAAAATGAGATGGTATGCATACCTTATTCTCATACAAATGCATACAAATACATAGGGGTCCAGCCAGACCCGAGGTGAGCGATCGAAGGTGTAGTTTTTGCATATCCTTATTTCATCCTTTTTAAGGACTTTTTTTAATGGATCTTTTGTTAGATAGATAGCCAATGAAATTTAAGGCAGGTAACTAAAAACTCAAGTCGCTAGCTAAACTAGAAATGTGTTAAATTAACGATGAAAAACGAAAAAGGTCTGGCCAGACCCGGGTGAGCGATTGAGGGTTAACTTTTAACATGTATTCGCTAAACGTTTCATCTAGTTATCACCGTGTATTCCCCTATTTCCCCTGCTATTTCGCCACACACCAACAGAGTATGTTTACTGTCAACAATATATGTTTACCAACAATTCGTAAATCAGCTGATTAAGCACAATGCGAAACGTGAGAGAACTGATTTACATTGCAATGGACTTTAATTCAACAAAGAATTTTTTTTATTTCAATTTATTATTTACATATTTATTGAAATATTCAAAGAGAAACATATTTTTTCAAAAATTTCATTTATACATTCAGCTTGAAAGCAAGTATAAAGTGTAGGCCTATATATGGCAAATTGAAAAAAAAAACAAATATTTATAAATGTTTACTTATGAAATATTCAAAGGTGAATTAGTCAATTATTTTTGATGTGAATAGTGATTATCCCATTCATACGAATCGGATCGTTTCATTTCGATGAGGCTCAGGTTGGTGTCACCATTTCTGGTTGCCCATTTTGTTTTCAAGAATATAAAGTCTTCAACATAAATGGTAACTTTGCGAGCTCCTGGCAATTGTTCGCGTTCCTTGTTCCATGTACGTAGCTTGAGAACGCCTCCATTCAAGTCGGAGTCATTTGCTGGGATTATTCGGACTTTGGTCAGTTTCGATGATCGGCTCATGAATGGCAAAATGTGATCATACGTTACATTTCGCATAAAAAGACGTTGAAGATTTGTGAAGCTATTTGCCAAAATCGCCATGTCAGCAGCATTCCCATCGTATATGACCAGCTCTTTTAAATTGGTTAACAGCGGCAAACTGTAGCATTTCGTCAATTTCTTAACGCACAACTTTTCAAGGGCTTGAAGCGATGTCAATTGAGTGCTAATTTGTTCGTCAACACTCTGAATATAGAAATGTAATCGCTTAAAAAATCCTCGCTCATGAATCTGGTTCAATAATTGACAAAGTGTTTCAAAAAATTCGTGGTCGTATTCGTACAGCATTTTCACTTCAAGTGTGTCAATTGTGGCCGTTGATTTCAGGAATGTTTCTTTATTGTCCCAAATGCACGATCCACTCGTGGAGAAGGTGCGAAGGCTTGAATTACGTTCAAAAAAAGTATTCAATGTGTCTGTCGTGGGAATCGGAATCAATTCCAAGTATTCCAATTTGGGATAATCGCGAAGCAGCCACGAATGACCAAGTGCAGCTCTTTGCAAAAAAAGACGTTTTAAATCGACACAAATTTTGAAAATCGCTTCGTACACATCGCCATCAATGGAACAATTTCGGAGTTGTAGTGTTTCAATCTTTGGATACATTTTTTGCATGCATTCAATTCGATTCTTGCTCAGGTTCATGCACACCAGGTAAATGTAATTGATGGATTCAAATTCATCGACATGCGATCGAATGTAACGCAGTGGCTTGAGATCGTGGTAATAGTGCGAAATTTTGCTGATGAATTGATTGAAGCCCGATGTTTTTGTGCGTTCATTAATGACACCTTCTCTGCTGGAATAAACCGTGTAAACACCGTCCGGATGGCAGAACTTCTCAGCCGCTGAATAATTTTGCTTAAAATATACGCCCGCCACTTTGTTCATCGCTTTGCATGTCTGACCGAACGAATGCAAGTCTTCTATTGACAAATACTCGAATATTTCATCGAAACAATCGACATCCAGTTTGAAGATTTTCGGCAAAGATTGCTGTTGATTTGAAGAAGTCCCAGGTGCCACTTGAGTTTGACCTTCAGTGTTACACAATTTTTGTTTTTTCGCCGTACTTTGTCCATCGCTCATTTTTCAAGCAGAATTTTTTTATTGGACGGTCACTTCCAATCCAAAAACCTTCTTTAATCACCCAATTTTTTTTATAACAAATTCCGTTTGCTGTTCTACAAAGACACGAACTTTAATTTTTTTTTCTCTACTGAACGAAGAACGGGAGCGGCAATTAAAACTAACGCAATAATTACACAATGATTGCTTATTGCCGGATTGGTGGAAATGACATTCTGATTGATAAACAAACTTGACATTTAGTGTCTAATTGAAGCGAAGTTGACTTTTATTATCCCGCTTGAATTCAAATTGAAGTCGATTTTGCGCCGTTTGAATCGAATGCCATTTTTCATTACTTTTCTTCGAAATAATTTACGATTTTTTACAATAATATTTTATGGAAAAGTGATTTATTTTCTATTTCAATCTTTAAAATACATAGAAAAAGTTATAAAAAATAAATTATTATGGGTGTCGATCCGGCCTGTGCTGAACAGTGTACTGAACAGTGAATACCGCTGTAAACCATTGATTGAATACCAATGCAAACCATTGATTGAATTTAAAAATGATGGTTCCATTCAAGCGAATCCGTTCGTTTCATTTCGATAAGGCTCAAGTTAATATCTCCGTGTCTAACGGTCCATTTGGTAGCCAAAAAGATGTCATCTCGAACATAAATTGTTATCTTTCGTGCACCAGACAATTTCGCACGTTCTTTATTTATTGCGACCAAATCCAGGACTCTCCAATCGGATGTGTCTTTTTTCTTTGCTTCATCCGCACCATCGTTGTTTCTGTTTTCTGCTTCTAATTCAACTTCATCGCTATGTTCATCACCATCTTCGCGGTCCATATTGTCACCGTCGTGATCACTCACATCTCCCACTCCATCTCCCACTGCTTCTCCCACTCCATCTCCCACTCCATCTCCATCCCCATTTTCACTTCGATCGTAGTCTTCATCTTCATTATCCGAATAACCTGAGTAATCTGAACCATCCGAATGACCCGAGTAATCTGAATAAGCATCGTTGTCCACATCAGCAAAACTAAGTCCATTGTATCCACGTTCGTTTGTGTCTCTGAGAAATAGATTGATTTTGTTCAATTTCGTGGATTGACGAATGAATGGTTGAATGCAATCAATTGTAGTATTATCCACGTAAAGGCGTTCCAGCTTCACTAAGCTATTTGCCAGAATTTCTGCATCACGGACATTCAATCCATCCAAAATGATAAGCTCTTTCAAGTCAGTCAAGAGAGGCAAATTGTAGCTTGCATCAAACCATCGAATGCATAGCAGCTCAAGACCCGGGACTTTTATCAATTTGCCGCTGAGATCATTACTAACGCGGTCAGTGTAAACAAATAAGCGTTTATAAAATCCTTGCTTATGAAGTTGGCTCAATAAATCCCAAATCGTCCTGCAGGTACCAGATCCATCATCCTGATAAAAGTATTGTGATTTGACCTCCAATATATCCAATTTCACAGTGGATTTTAGGAATCTATTTCGATTGAACCATAAAAATCTGCCGCTGGTCGAGAACCGTTGAACTTTTGGATGGCGTTCCAAAAACCCATACAACTCGTCTACTTCGTCTGAATATCTCGGCATCAGCTCTAAGTGTTTAAGCATCGGGTAATCTTGCAACATCCACCCATAATTGCCATTGCAGTAGGTATCGGCATTTTGCACATAAATTGTATGCAAATTTGGACAATGTTTCAGTATCAATTCGTAGAAACAGCCATTCACACTACAGCTTCTGATTTGGATAATTTCGATTTTCGGAAGCAATTTTTCGATGAATTCGACTCTGGTCGGGTTGATCCGTAAGTCCACTAGATAAATATGATTAGTTGATTGAGCGAATTCGTCAATGTGCAACTGAAGATATTCGAGCGGTTCGAGTCGATCATGATAATGCGAAATACATGGCATGAATTCATTGAAACCCAATGTTGGTATACGCTCGTTAATCACATTATCTCGGCTTGAATGAACCGTATAAATGCCATCCGGATGGCAGAACTTCTCAGCCGCTGAAAAATTTTGCTTGAAATATACGCCCGCCACTTTTTGCATTGTCTTGCACGTTTGACCCAATGAATGCAAGTCTTTCATTGACAAATACTCGAATATCTCGTCAAAACAATCGATGGTTAGCTTGAAGATTTTCGGTGGTGAGTCTGCATTTGAAGGACCTTTCGGTGGTGAGTCTGCATTTGAAGGACCAGCGTCAGCCATGTCTTTCTTTTGCTCGTTTTTTCCGCCCATTTTTTCCTTCTTCTCACAATTTGTTGAATGACTCATCCTTTGCACTTTGACGACGACCGTAATATGAAACTTTCTCACTTTGACAATGATTGGAATGGGATTATCACTGTTTATCTGTGAAAAAAAATGTAAAGAATATTGAATATTTTCAAGTTATTGTGTATAGAAATAAACAAAATTGCAAATGTGTTTTCAAATTTCTTGGAAAATAACTTGTATTTCAACAAAAAAAGAATAAAATGAATTAAAATGATGAGCAAAAACAGTACCGTATCTATTCAGTGTACAAAGTCTAATGTCACTCTTTTCAACAATACATCATCTGGAATGCTGGCTGAATTAGAACTTTCAGATTTGACATTGAAATTTGACAAAAAATATTTAAACAAATAGTCCGTTTTGAGAAATGATTGTTTGAAGAAAAACTTAAATTTCCATTTGATAATGTCTAAGTGAAGTTAAAAATTACGTCGCAACTTGAAAATTTATAATGAATTGTATTAAAAACAATTTTTAGCTATGAACCAAGCTCATTTGTTTCTATCAATACATATCCATTCTTGTATTCCACCACACAACATGCACAACACACTTACAGCTACAGTTCAAGCTGTTTGTAAACAAACTTAAAATCAGCTGATTTGAAGACCGCCAGCGTTATCTAGAAAAATTGAATCCATATTCTGTGATGAGAGACAAAGAGATTTGTTCAAACATTCAATTTGATTTGTTTATTCATCCAAAGTGGGCTCTCATTATTACAGATTCGAAAAAAACAAAGTAGAAGAGGAAAAATAATGGCATTCACACCAATGAGATTCTATTATTCGTTTCTATTAAACTCAAGTTGAAATCTCCGCTGTCAGTCCAAATAAAAATAACACATATGTTATCTACTTCCAACACATAGCCAAGCAATCACTAGTATCATGTGTATTCAACACACACACATGATACTAGCGATACAGTGTTTCATTTTTCCACATTCCAAATGTTTCTCATTTCACCCATTTCCAGGTCTCACTCGTTCCACATTCCCGACATTCACGATGGAATGGAAATGTCAATGGTTGACACTGACAGCGTTTAAATAGTGAATAAAATAAATCACACACGTGTGGCAATCATCTAAAAAAAATGTTTACAATATCAACGAATATCAAGCATTTCGTGAGGCTGAGGCCGATGCAACCAGCAATTTTTAGTTATTCAAAATTTGCCAAATTAAAAAGTAATGACGAACGTGCGGCTGAGTTACAAAAACAACGATATAACGTCGTTCATACAGCAATAACATCAGCGCTAAAGAAACAAAAATGTTTGCCGGCATCCGAGTGGAAATTAATTGTAACCGAGTTACAAAAGAATCCCGAGTTCAGGAATGAAAATACCTTGAATAAGCTTGTATTTACAGTTTTATTGTCACTTCGGCCGAATGATTCGTTGCAAAATGCCCGAACTTTTATTGAATCGTTCGGTTTGAAATATGAAGACTTGGGCATACGGCGATTCATTATTCAGCTGTACGCAAAAAAGGCATCAGTGGAAAAATTAACCGAAGCGGAGGAACAGCAGTTGATTGATTGGTAGAATGTTAATTTTTGAACTAAATCTATTGAAACAAAATAAAGTAAAGTAATTTCTTTTTTCTAGGTGCAACGACCTCATAGCCCGAGAGTTTTACATTCTATCGGAAATGCATTCAATAGTCGTGATGGGACTGTGTGCGACGAAAGAGTGGCGAAAAGCATTGGACCTAGCAAAACCAAGTTCAAGCTCACTCAATATTTTAGCAAGAAAAACTCTGCATCAGAATGAAATTGAGTCAACGTGGAAAATATTAACAAATTTAACACACCTCAGCAAAAGCTATCAACACCTGGCTAGCAAAACGATTGTTGCGTTCGCAAAATACTTTGAAAATAATCGAGAAGAAATTCCACAAAATGCTGAAAAATTGCTCACATTTTGTGAACGTCTTCAGACGGTGTTTGACGAACCAACGCTCAGAGTATTGACGAGTGCTCTTTACAAAAGTGGACACGAAGCAAAAATCACCAACGTTGACTATTCGTAAGAGATCATTTATTTTGGTTATTTTTTTTGAAAATTGTATTGTTGAAATTTATGTTTGGTCTGAACTTTTTTTTCCATTATTCATTTTTTTTTCTATTTTACAATTCAATTTCTTTTCCCAGGGGCGTCTGTCGAAATTGCAACAGCAATCTGCAAGCAGTTCGGATAGCAAACAAAGACTTCATCACATTGCAGAATGAGTTTTTGAACAATGTAGTCGGTAAAGGTCAAGCCAATATCATCTATCAGAAAACAACACCTGAGGAGTGGCAAGCATTTGAGCGTACAATTAAAGAGAACGGTCCATTTGACATCGTTATGGATGGATTGAACGTTTCTTATTTGGCAAATCAACAAAATATTCATGTAGCAGATAAATTAGCATTCACAAAATTTAAACATAAACAAAAACCATGTGCATTTGCGGTAAATTTTTTGTCATTGTGCACATTTACTCAAGAAGTTATCATAGTCATGATAACTAAACCACATGTCTGAACTTTTTTTTCTGCATTTCGACAATTTTTTTTGCATTTTGAATCAATTTTTTTAATAATAATTTTTTGCTCTTTTTTCTAGTTGGCGAATGTAGTGTCACAACTCACTGCAGAAGGAAAGCGTGTTTTAGTTGTTGGAAGGAAGCATATGAACAGATGGCCAAAAATGAATGCAATTCGTCAAATGGCAACGGTTTTCCTAGTCGATGATATGTAAGCAGCCCCAGAGAATCAATTTTGAATAGATTTTTGTTCAATTATTTCGATTTCTGAAAACAAACGCTATTAAACATAAATAGCGTTTGTTTTTAATTTGCGTATTTTTCAAATTTGGGTATTTGAAAAGTCTCATTTATTTAATTTTTTTAAATTACAGATCCAAAGACGACATATTTTTGCTCTATGCGGCATTATACAGCGGTCCCAATTCATACATTTTATCCAACGATTATATGCGACAGCACAAATTTGCAATTGGACAACAATTCGATGCACTGTTTAAAAAATGGCAACAAGAGCATTGGTATGGATTCACAATCGGCACAGATAAACCAATCGAACTGGTCAAACCGATGGCATTCAAAATGTACAGCCATAAAATTGGTGATTTTTGGCATCTGCCATTCAAAACTAATGCAGAAATTGAATCCAAAACATGGAATCAATATGATCAACCGAAAAATTGGGCTTGTGTTCGAATTAAGCAAAATGTGGAGAAATAATTTTTTTTTTTTTAGAAAAATAAATTCAAATTCGAAATTGAATTGTATTATTATTGGCTATGAATAAAATTCAATGCAAATTGAAATAAAGTGGCTCCAAAGCTGTGAGCTTCAGAGTTTGTTCAAATAACAGACATTTAACAAAAGTAATTGAAAAAAAATCGTTCTTTTTTTAATTTTATGAAAAAGTATAAAATACATCATTCATCGAATCAGATCGTTTTACTTTTATTAAATTCAAGCTAATGTCTTTATCTTTGGTGATCATTTTTGACACCATATATGCATATGTATGTGTGAGTGTAGTTCAATCGACATCCAGTTCGAATATTTTTGGCAAAGATTGCTGTTCATTCGTAGAAGTAGAAGTAGCAGACGTTCCAGCGCTTTGACCTTCAACTTGACACAGTTTTTGCTTTTTTGCTGTACGTTTTCTATCACTCATTTTTTCCGTGTTGACGTTTTGTTGGATGATTGTGGCAAATACGATTTTAATAAATGACCTTCTTCTGTTATTACCCCAATATTTTGAATAAATTTCTTTTACTATTTCAAAAATGAATTTTCCTTGTATTTACACAAGGTTTAGAAATTCGATTGGTTGAAGAACAAAAGTGACGTTCAAACTTAATGCAAGCCCAGCACAATGTCGACTCATCAGTGGATTTTCGCGAATGACATTTGCAAAAGTTGATAATGCATTTTACGTCAATTGTTTGATTCAGAGTGAAGGTGATATTTATCGCATTTGTTGATAGATTCATATTGTCCCGTTTGAAATGAATTCAAATGCACTTCAGCTGTTTGGCGTACGAGTAAATTGTCTCAGTCCATTGCTTCCAAAAACATTAAATAAAAGACACACATGATTTAAATATAAAACGATGAAATAATCCAAAGCATTTTTATTTAATTCTAGAAAGAGATAATACATATTTGAGTATCGTTCACATATTGAATTTAAAAGTGATGGTTCCATTCGTACGAATCAGATCGTCCCATTTCGATTAAGCTTAAATTAATATCTCCGTTGTAAGCAGCCCATTTTGTGGCCAAAAAAACATCGTCTCGAACATAAATCGTCACTTTTCGTGCTCCTACCAATTTCTTACGTTCCTCATTTAATGCGACCAAGTCTATGATTCTCCAGTTAGAAGCGCTTTTTTCTTCAACTTTATCAATGTTATCCTTTTCTTTTTTCTTTTCATCTTTTTCATAATGCTGAGCTTCGACCGCAGCATAATTATTATTATTTTGATCGAGAATGCGTTGTTGTTCCTGTTCGCCTTTGAGAAACAATTTGATTTTACTCAATTGTGTTGATTGCCGAATGAATGGCAAAATGTCGTCAACTGTTGCTTTGTCGACATAAAGTCGTTGGATTTTCTTGAGACTCTTTGCTAGAACTGCCATATCAGTGGCATTTGCTCCATCCAAAAGTATGAGCTCTTTCAGATTGCTCAAGAGAGGCAAACTGAAGCTTGATTTAAACCGTCGAATGCATAATGTCTCGAGACTCGCACCCATCGAAGCCAATTGATTGCTGAGCTCTTGGTCAACGCGGCCGATGTAAATAAATAATCGCTTGTAGAAACGTTGTGCATGGAGTCGATTCAATACATCCCAAATCAATATCTTATTGCCCGATTCATCGAATTCAGTGAAGAATTCGGCTTTAATTTCCAATACATTCAATTGCACTTTCGAATTCAGGAACTCATTTCTATTGATCCATAGAAATCTGGCGGTGGTCGAAAATCGTTTCACCTTCGGGTTACGTTCAAAAAATGCCTTCAGCTCATCCACTACGATCGGATAGCTCGGCATCAGTTCCAAATGCTCGAGCTGAGGATAATCTTGCATTAGCCATTCGTGCTTGCCATTGAAACTGGAGTCAGCGTTCTGCAAATAAATGCACTTTAAATTTTCACAATATTTCAGCATCAATTCATAGAAATTCCGTGACATCGAGCAATTTCTTATTTGCATTATTTCGATTTGTGGTAGTATTTCTCTGATTAATTCCACTTTTTCGTGGTTTATAAATAGCGACACAAGGTAAATGTGGTTGGTTGATATAAATTCGTTGACATGTTTTTGTAGATAATGAATTGGTCCAATTGCCCCATAATAATGCGATATACAGGGCATAAACTGATTAAAACACGATGTTTGAATGCGCTGATTGACATCACCCTCCATGCTGGAATAAGTCGTGTATATTCCGTCCCTTGCGCAGAATTTCTCAGCTGCTGAATGAGTCCGTTTGAAGTACTCTCCGCACACTTGCTGCATTGTCTTGCACGTCTGACCGAGTGAGTGCAAATCTTTCATTGACAAATACTCGAATATTTCGTCGAAACAATCGATGGTCAGCTTGAATATTTTCGGTGGTGAGTCCGCATTGGAACAACTTGCACATTGTTGATCTGGATAAGATGACTGGTGTCCCATTTTCGAATGTTTTTTTATGCCTCTTTTTGATAATCTCCGTTAATTTTTTCTTTTCAAAAATATCAAAACATGAACAAAGTCACGTATACACGTCGTACGTTTATCTATAAAAAGAGAGAAATTATTACTTTTAGCGAGCTTTCAAGAGAATATCTATATATAGTGTCGATTAAAAGCTTGAGTACGATTGAAAAAATCTACTATTTCTGCAAAAAATGGAACTTTTTTTTAATATAAAATGTATTCATTCTGGCATAAACTCGTAAATCTTACGAAGTCTGATCATTTTAGATCTTTTATTGGGTATATTTTTAAATCGGTTTAAAAAATTTGATTTGAAAATGTTTTTCTCTTTGAAAATCATCTGACTCCTTGCCTTCCGCTATATCTACAACATCGGATTTGTTTACAACTTCTATGCATAAAGTTCCTTGAAAACTTGTCTAAATAGCATAAAAACAATACGACATATCTACCACAGGTGGATTTATAACAAATAAGTCGAAATACTGTTTGCGATTGAAGCAAAAAAAAAAAATTCCTGAAAAATTTAAATAAACTAGAAAAACTCTCTTTTCCCATTCGTAACAAAGAACAATTTTTTGAGCAATTTTAACCCTCTAATTTATTACAACCGCCTCTAGACGGGCAACATTTGAACGCCTGTAGAACGTAAACCGTACATCGGATTACATTGCATCAAAGGGAATTTTCATTTGTCAATGTTTTCTCTTTATTTTTGTCTTTGGCAATATTTGTCTATGCAGTGTGATTGTAAAGTTATAAACAAAAATGTATGCAACAACAAAAATTTGACAGAATAAATTATTCGAATTCCAAATTAGACACAGTTTTGATACTTTCAAACAATGGATTTGATTGTTCTCTGATTTATGTCAATCGCATTTTCTGACTAAATCATGAGAAATCCAGGATTATGAATATTTTTTTAATTATCAATGGCCAAAAATCAACCAGATACCCCCAAGCGCGACTCCACACTTAGCTTCTAAATGTGACACCTTGGTAAGTGTGAGCATTCGTCGTGCGAACAAGCAATAAAGAGAGTGAAAACAAGTGCGCGTGTATTGGTCGCTACATTGAGAAGCATCGCATCAGGCTGCTCACTACCACACGCGCACTTGTTTCCATTCTCTTCGTCGCTTATTCGCAAAACGAATGCTCACACTTAGCAAGGTGTCACATTTAGAAGCTAAGTGTGTAGTCGCGCTTGGGCCAGTACTCCCAGCCCTGGGCAAAATTATTGCATTAGATGGTTAAAGAAATTTTATGTACATCAAGCGGTAAATCGGAAGGATGGCAGGAAGCCACATGATTTTCACAGAAAACGGATGTGTTCCAAATTTACTCATTTTCGTCAAAACTCCTCAAACCGCTTCATTTTTATCTTCAATAAAAGGTTAAAAATGACCAGTTTTCGTGATATTTACGAGTTGATACCAAAATACATAAATTTTATATAAAAAAAACCGATTTATATTAGATAAAATACACACCTTTTTTTTATAAATAATAAAAATAAATACAAAAGCATAATAATTTCGAAACCACAAAAATTGAGAAGAAAAAAACACTACCGTTCCGGTTTCGTGTGTACACTCGAATGTTTCGTATTTACGGTGTTTCGACTTTAAAAGCCAAACTTCAACTGAGAATCAACCGAGTTCGACGTGTATATTCGGTGTATCGCTGCGTGTACAATCAATGTGTGGTGACGTTTTTTTTTTGCGCTGAAGCTCCATTCATATTGGGCGAGTCAACCAACTTAAATTAAATTTAACTTTGACTCAGCGCTGCTGCATATTACCAGAAAGTCGGTTGGTATTTTATACATTTCACCGGTTACGGCTTTGCTCATACATTCATTTGATGCGAATACACGTGTACAAAATTACAATGTGTGTATGGCGTGCGTGTAAGTGATACGTCGTATCGGTTCACGCGCTATGCACTAACGTTGTAACATGTACACTATGTATTCGCATAAAAAAAGTATAAGCAAAGCCAAAACCGGTGGAAGGTATAAAGTATCAGCTGATTTTATGGTAATATGCAGCGCTTAGGAATTGAAAAATATTTCAAACTCAAACCAAATTCGATTTTTGTTTACACCAATACATGGACAGGATATAAATCAGTATCAGCTATGTGTTGAACACAATGGCAGAGTATTTGTTCAATTGTTCACCCAGTTCTCCGATAAACACATATTGACTTCAGTTGTTTGTAAACAATCTTCATATCAGCTGATTAGAGTGGAGACAAAAGTTTGCTTTTGCTTTTGTTTCGGTTACAGTTGTAATAAATACTATTGCTATTTTTTTTGCTAGCGAGCTATTTTCAATCACAACACATTTTTAACACTCACATTGTCCTGCCCACACATTTTTATCATAATACAAAAAGTGTTGATGCATGCTTACACTCAAGTTGGGCGCAACTATTTCAAATGCTAAAAAATCCCTTGCACAGCAAAAAACAACAACAACCGGCATATTTTCTTGGTGGACGGATTGTAATCGAACACATTTTAGAATAAGATTTTGTTTGTTTCAAACTACGTGAGCCGACAATCGTACAATGTACGTCGTACATTATAGTTTATGGCGTAAAATTACGTTTAAACATAGCCTCGAGACATAGTAATATTAAATTGCTCGTCTTGAATTAGCTTCATTGATAAAAACTTGTTGATAAAACCCACTATTGTTAAGGAAGTGACGAAAAATTGTGCTACTTCATTCATTGTGTAGCTTGAATTATTTGAACAAATTCGCCGTCATTATGATTTTGCGCAGAGTTTGACTCAGGCGACAGATATATGCTTTTAAATACATTGCGCTGTACAACTCGGGAAGATTTTGTTTATAAACAAATATTTTTCTTTGTAAACAAACCGTTCTATACTACCACGTTCAGTGTGCGTGCTGATACTCGATGAAGCTGGGTGCCGTTATATACTGGGAGTGGACAAACCAAAAAATATGCGGATATTTTTTCTATGCTAAAGCATATATCTGTCACCTTAGTCAAACTCTGATTTTGCGATATGATTCGAAGATCTTTCAACACAATTGATAAAACCCATACAATTTGAACAAAATGAATGACAGCAATATCGTCGGCTGTTTTTCATCCGTCGATCACAATGAATTCCGAGTGTTATCTTTTACAATGATTTCATTCTTCCGCGAAAATGGTTTGATCATACGGATGCAAAAGCTAATCTCACAATGAGAGCGATTGTAATTTTGTTTGGCATTTTTTGCATTTTGAACGATGTTATCGTTGATAAATTTCAATCAGTGTTCCAGATGGCGGTCACCTTGGCCAGCATGGCCGCTATTTTCGGTGCATTCTCATTGGGAATGCTTTATTCAGGGTCGAATAAATATGTAAGTGTTGTCTTTTTGGTACGTTTTTTTACGCATTTTCATTAAACATTGCTTTTTGTTTGAATTTTGACTTTCTGTTGATTCATGCAAAGGGTGTCTTTTCCGGAATGATTATAAGTATGGTAACTGTTGTGCCTTTAGACTTAAAGGCTTTAGTCATCAACACACAGTACAATATAGCACAAGGTGAATTAAGCTATGACATATTACCAACATGGATTGATGGATGCAACGATTCAATTGATTTATTAGTACAAACTGCACCATGAATATGGAAACAAGACTTGAAACAAATGAAACAAGAATTTCGGAAACGAAACCAATTAAAATTTAAAAAAATTGAGAATAGAAATACAATTGATCTAATTCAATGGAGGATTCGAACAAAACATCATAAAATTAATAAATGTGGAGAAACAAAGTAAAAAAAAACATAGAAAACGATTTTCATCAGTCTTAGTCATTGCCTCAATCGATTTAAGCATCCTTGATAGTTAAGATAAATAGCGATAACTCAGCCAACTATGAACCGCACGCAGTCGTCGCATGACACTGTAATGGTATGTATTGGTTCAGTTGCCAAACATGCGCCACGCGCTTCCGTACGACACAAAGTCTGTAGCGATTGTGTGATACACGTGCGGTTCACAGCATTTTGAGTTATCGCATTTATAACGGATACTGAAAATTGATTGCAAAATGACCATGGCACATTGGGATCGTGATCTATCAAAAGAAAAAGAATATACCATAGATTCAAATCAGAATAATACACAATTTTCTGAACAAAGTTATATATAGAATTGAGCTTTTGAAAACGCGCCAACAAAACCGGTTAACGAAAAATAAACATCGAGAAACTGTTTTCATGCTCATCAACGAAATTTGGAATTAATAATACAAAGTCAGACGCTTTTTTATAGAGCTGATAGAAAGGTGATAAGCACCAATTAATGCATTCTTTGAAACGGCACGTACATCGTACACGCATATTCATGTAAATGCGCACGTGTATTATTTGTTGAGATTTAATTACTTGGCAGAGATTGTATATTTGCTGCTGAGTATGCCTGAGCTGAGCTGAATTTGCTAACTCGGGCGCCTGAAGCGGTATTTTAGCGCACTTA